CTTTTTTTTTTTCTTAATATTGCACTAGGACGTGATGGTTCTTGATCAATCGCTCTTTTTCGGGATGAGTGATATACACGACCGTCATCGTGACATGCGACTCGATATAGATAACATGTCTTATGAGGTGAAAATACAACATTCTTCTTCTCCTCCCTTTAATTATGCTATTCTCTAATTTTCTATTTTTACAAATTTGCAATCTATTTCGGCTTTTTCTTGCAGGAGTTATTGGCTCTTGGGGAGCGAATTGGAAATGTGTCGACTGGAATAAATGAGGAAACCATAATGAGTTGTTTGAAGCAAACAACAAATGTAAACCGTGCTGAAGATCAGACGGAGACCGAGCCTTGTAGTATTTGCAGAGTACGAACTTTTTCTTCTCAACTTATTTAATAAAATTAGGTGAAATTTTTGGCTTGCTTACAAAAACTTAAAGCTTTTGCAAGTTACTAAATATTCTTGAGGTATATGATTCAAAGAAAAGATGTCTCAGAGAGTTTTTCTTATATTTGTAATTTTCAAGACCCTCTGGGTTTTTTCTTTGTGAATACATCAAATCTCAGGGGTTATTTTGTAATTATCTTTTCTTATGTGTTCACTGGTTGTTGCAGGAGGAATACGTTGATGGGGAAGATCTCGGGACCCTTGACTGTGGCCATGAATTTCATAAGGACTGTATCAAACAATGGCTTCTTCACAAAAATTTGTGTCCGATTTGTAAAACGACGGGGCTCACTAAATAAAATGGTGGCCACCAAAAAATGACCATTTTTCTTTGGCAAACTATGCTCACATCACATGGTTGCGAGATTTGGTGTTGTTTTTCAATTGTTACATTATAACTTACTTCCTGAGGTTTGATGGCATTCTCCTGTGGAGAATGTATTGCATACATGGGATTCTCCTGTGGAGAAATTTATGTCTTTCAGATGAGAAGGTTGATACTCAGGCTACAGTTCGCATTAGTGCTATGTTTTATTTGAATTTTTTTTTTCTTTTTTTTTTTCTTTTTTTGGAATGATTGAGGAACCGATTAGACAATAACACAATTCAAAAGAAACGATGGCTAAAGTAGCCCCAATGGCCAAAGCCTGAAAGGCAAAATTAGNGAGCTGATTTATTTGTATCAAGCAAGCCCTAGCAATCTTGTCTAAACATTTTCTCATGTTTGACATTTACGAAAAGATGAAATCAAATTTTTGATATTACTACATTGGCCTTATCGATACCTATGGTCTATACAATTTGCTACTAGTACAAAATTTTGTGATATTACTACATTGGCCTTATCGACACCTATATTCTATACAATTTGGTACTAGTACAAAAGGGTCGAAGGGGGAGATATTATGGTTTTAATTACAGTAGTAAAAACACTTGACGTGAATGATAAATAGCTCGATGGTAATCGCACCTTGTTCGCCTGATTTCTTTTCACACAAAAGTCTGCAAGCTCTTGTAATCTACCAAGCCTTTTCCAATATTCGCAAAATGTAAAATTCCTAGGTGTAATTGTTCGATTCCGCTCTGCATTATTCGTAAATGAGCCCTAAAGATATCGTGTACTCAAGTGTGGGAGCTCACAAATTGTTCCCCGAAATGTTGACTTTGACCTTTCAGCGTATTGTTAACAAAAATATAACTACGTCTGAGCATCTTATAAATCAAAGGTACTCTTAGCAACCTTGTATAGCAGCACATGCCTTTGGAAAGTGAATTTCGACCCGTGCTAAATGGTATCAAGCAAGATGATTGACCAATTGCCTCTGAAGGCCATCATAGCTTTATCCACATTATATCTTATTCTCATTACAAATCAGAGAAAAAGGAAATATGCAACAAATCTTGCCAACAAAATGAGCAAGGGTGGACCAATGTACTTTGCTTGCTCCTAAAACTCCATGATTGCATACACTGATTTCAACAGTCAAATTTCATTGCTTCAACTACCATAAACAAAACATATACTTACTTAGTACTTACAAAGAAATGACCGAGCTATGAATTTAGAAGACGGAAAAATACAAGATGCCCCCTGAAGCGTGATTCTGGCTTAAAAGTTTCCACTCCAAAAGAAAAAGAATTTAAAACAGGGGACCTAGCAAAAAGAGCTAAATATTAGCAAATTTTTCCAATTAACTGTCATTTAGAGGAATTACCATTGTATGAAGACTATAAAATCATTTCTCAATTAACTGATTAAATCAAGTGTGCATCAAGAGGTATTTAAGTAAGAAATTTAGGAGTTGAGAATAATCAGGGGAACGAAAGGATTCATCACCAAGCAGTTTCATTAGTGAGAGTCACAATCTTGTGGGAATTAGACTAAATGACACTTATCCTTTTTTTGTCCATTTCTGTTGAAGCTTCCTTGGATAATCCTTAATCTAACATCAAATTCCAAGTCCACTCCAACAACTCATTTCATTCTCAATCAATTTCCAAAATCCATCAGGATTTAATTAAACTAATATTTAGCAATAAGGAATCCGCATAACAGCAATACCATTGCAGATCTCAACAGAACATAAACTCTGAAAACAGATAGCACTAACAAGATTAGCAACTTAATATAGCGGAAAACAACGATAATTTTCAGTTACTCATTCGTCATCCGCAGCGGACTCGGTTTTCTCGCTGTGCGGCGGTGCCGCGTCCTCCTCCTCCGGCTTGTTCGCCGGCGGCTGCGGCGTCGACGCCGCAGGAGCCTCCTGCTCGCCAGATCTGGCCTTCACCCTCTCCAGCATCCGCTTGCTGATTTCCTTGGAGTAAACCTGCAGGATCTCGATCCCGTCGTCGTCGGCCGTCGCTCCCTTTCCCGCCACCTCGAAGGCCTCCTCCTCGATGACCTTAGCTGCGTCGGCTGCCTCCTCTCTGGGAACGGTGCCGTAGCGCTTGGACAAGATGGAGGGGGAGGAGAGGGTCTCGATAAGGCGATGCCTGACGGCGTCGCGCGTGCGTTCGCTCGGGGGCCAGATGCTGAAGGAGATGTTGGAGAGCTTCTCGGCGACGGAGGCGGTGGTGTTGTCGGACTGTGGCGGCGGTAGTTCTGTCTCGGCCATGGCGGTGGTTGATGAGGGCTGAGGTTTGGTTTGGGGATTCTCAAGTGGGGTTTCAATGTTGTCGGATTCGGGCATCATTTTGAGCTTCTTATTTAGAGTGAGCCTTCTCTTTTTTTCTTTTTAACCTTTTCTTTCTATTTTATTTGCCATATGAGTTGTGAGTGTTCATTTATAAAAATTCAATGGCTATTCACCACTCCCTTTTTACTAGTCACCGTCCTCCTCCCCCTATTTACTCTTTTGCCCTTAACCTTTTTTTGGATTTCATCTCTCTAAATTTTCTATCTCTCTAAATTTCCGAACTTCAACGAACGATTCGAGCATAAAAAAAAATCCAAAAAAATGTCGAAAAAATTCTACGGCCTCGGCAAAGGATTCTTCTCCAACAAGGTAAATTTTTTTTTTTGGCCGGAAGTATTTTTTAAAAATTAATTTTTGAAACAGCCGAACCGGCCGGCCGTCGGTTCCGGCCGGTCCGGGTCCGTCCGGCCGTCGGTTCCGGACGGACCAAAGGTTGTCCGGTCGGCCGAACCGGCCGGCTTTTGGTCCGTCCGGAACCGACGGCCGGACGGACCCCGGCCGGTCGCGAGCCGGCCGGACAAAAATCAATTTTTTTTTTTTTTTTTTTTTT